CATGACATTAGACAAATATTATGTACACTAAGTAGGAAAACGTAACCCTTAGCCAGAGGTAAAATAGATCATAGCGACAGACCCAGTAGTGCCCCAGATGTTTGCATTAACAGATACAAACTTTAAGGGCGCTTAGAAATACATTGGAGAGTTCAAAGGAAAAGACGCTTTGGAGAGGACTCAGCTTGGACTCACCAGATGGTGAAGATACTGAGCTGCTTCTTATGTGGGACTTGCTGGAAGTCTCTGGGGTCCCGGGGAAGACCGTCTACATAAAGATTGAGTCCTCCACTATCTCAGAGTCCTCTGTGAGCTTTGGAGCTCGTCAGGTGCCAGGACAGCTGCTGGGGGCTGGGCACAGCTTGAACCAGGATCTGGGGCAGCAGCCTTCTGCAGGAGTCCAGCAGACTTAGAGGAGGCTCTGGAATTCCAGGATGGAAGGTGGGATGTAGGAGCAGCAATCTGGGCTGGGGCAGGGTCCCATGCTATCTGGGAATCCCAGACATACACAACTGCCTGAATTGAGCGCTGGTGAAGGCAGGCAGTCACCAAATCCAGAGGAAACTGTAGCCTGCAGGAACTTAGCACTAGAAAGACCATGCAGAGAACAGGCTGGGGGCAAAGTGCACTCTGGAAGCCTAGAGAGTGAGCCATACCAGAACCGGGAAGAGAAAAATCCCTTCCTCCTCCAGGGTCCTTCTAGGACCCTCCTCTGACAATGTTTAACACCAGGCTGGCTGGCAAATGAGAAACATTTACAAAAATCCATCTTTGCTATTACAGAGTAAGGCAAAAAGGGTGAATTTGGAGCTAAAAGGAAATTGATAAGGACCATGATCCACCCCTTTGACCCCTCAGCATTCCATGCAATGTCTACACACTCGGAAATGCCAGACAACAATGTGATGACTCTATAAGAGCCCAACAATCACCGGATATACCACGGTGGTGATGTCAATTACCCCTCAAAATCTGCTGAATATTCTGTTGCCTGATGATTAAACTGTAAAATTAACTTCTAACAATCTGTATAGAAATATTTTTAATGGAAAAGAAAGAGAAGATGGATATTGTTTACATATACCGGCAAGCACATATGATATGAAGCAAAAGGAAGGGGCACCTGGTTGGCTCAGTGGGTTAAGCATCTGCCTTCAGCTCAGGTCATGGTCCCAGGGTCCTGGAATCAGATCCCAGTCAGGCTCCCTGCTCAATGGCGGGGTCTGCTTCTCCCTCTGCCTGAGGCTCCCCTTGCTTATGCTCTCTCACTTTCTCTGTCAAAAAATAAGTAAAATCTTTAAAAAAAAAGGAAAAGGAAAATATGAAAAGTAACTATAACCATTTCTGTAACTGGTCACAAGGTTCTAATTGTTCTCTATGACTTCCTTTTTCCACCATCCATTCTTTATTTATCCAACTTCAGCCAGAAGAATTAGTTGATCAGAACTTTTTACCTGGTAAAGTAATCTAAATCTTCATTCCTGAAAGGGCTCAGTCAGTCATCCTGCCTTTTTATTGGTTGCTGTGGTTTTCCCTGAACTTTTAGTATGGGACATGAAGTTCCAGAAACCTACAAAATATTCTGGGTTACAGTCCTTCTTGCCTCTAATGAGTAGCAGAACCCAATTTCTTCTTGGTATTAGGGACCAATCACACCTAGGAGGACAACCCATCTTTCTGCCTGATTTTTTTTTAAGATTTTTATTTAAGAGAAAGAGCGGGTGAGCCAGGGCTGGGGTCAGAGGGGAAGAGAGAATCATCAAGCAGACTCTTCTGCTCAGTGCAGAGTCCGACTCAGGGCTTGATCCCAGGACCCTGAGATCATGACCTGAGCCCAAATCAAGAGTCAGGCACTTAACTGACTGAGCCACCCAGGCACCCCTCCACCATTGCTTTTAAACTCAGGAATTCCTGTCCCAATTTGATAACTATCTTGTCATTTATTTTTATGGTTTGTATTTTCTTTACATTTAACTAAAAAAATTCACTTAGGATTAATTTTGTTAAATGGCAAAAAAAAAAAAAAAAAAAAAAATGACGACCTAACTCTAGATCTCCCTACAAATATCTAGCCAATTTATCTAGTACTATTTGTAGAATAATTCATCCCTCTTGCCACATAATACAAAGTGAATTGTCTTTTAAATATTATTATATACCTAAATCTGTTTTAAGATATTATTCTCTTTTGAACTGACTTTCCTTATAACCATATTGTTTTAATTATCATAACTTCACAATGTTTTCATATTCCATAAGACTAGCCTACCTCCCCCTACAAAAGCCACACTTAAGTTTCTCTTCTTTCCAAAAATGTTCTTAACTATTCTTACTTGTATGTCCTTTCAGATGAACTTTACAATTGTCTTACCATCTCTCATCCCCAGTGAAATCACTTCAAAATCACAAAATAATTTCAGAAGAAATGACGCTGTATTAGTCAGGTTCTCCACAGACACAGAACCAATAGGATGTACCTGTATACAGAAAGAGATTTATGAGAAGAAATTGGCTCACAAGAATTTGGAGACTGACAAGTCCCATATCTGCAGGGTGAGTCAGCAAGCTGGAGACCCAGGAGAGCTGATGACTTAGCTCCAGTCCTGAAGCCGGCAGGCTCAAGAGCCACTGCTTCAGTTCAAAGGCCGTAAGGCAAAAGGAATTGTCTTACTTGAGGAAGGCATTCTTTTGTATTAGTCAGGCATTCAGCTGATTGGATGAGACCCACCACATTAGAGAGGGCAATCTGCTTTACTTAGCCTACCAAGTTAAATGTTAATCTTACCCAAAACAGCTCCACAGAAACACCCAAAGCAACAACGGACCAAATATCTGGGTACTCCATGACCCAGTCAAGTTGACAAAAAATTAGCTAACATAACACCTTCATAATATTTTTAGCCCATCCAGGAACAATTATCTCAGTAATTTTTCTTCAAAATGTATGGCTTTCATTGTCTAGGTCATACTACTTCTGATGAGGTCTTTTCTAGAACCTATATACTTTTTGTTGTTTCTAAGAATGGGAATTTTTCCTATTGGATTTTCTACTGATTATTGTTGGTACATAGAAAAACAGTCAATTACTCACCTACTTACCTAAACTCTTAATAGTCCCAACATTTTTTTCCTACTGATTCTCTTGAGTTTTCTGGTAGTAAATCATATTATATGGAAATGATGGCAAGTGTGTCTTTGCCCATTCCTATAGTATTGCTCTTATTTCTATTTCCAGTATTATTTCACAGATTATAGTTCACAGAACAATGTAAAATAATAATAAAGATGGCAGAAATCTTGATTCCCTATTTAATAAGGTCATCTCTAATGTTTTCAATGAAACATAATATTTTCCTGTTGATTTGAGATAAATACTTGATCTTGTACTCTTTATTTCCTGGATTTATTAGAGTTTGAGAAAAGGAATGAGAGTTGAGTCATCTCAAATGCCTTTTCAGCTTCCACTGATGATTACACATTTTTCCAATTTGACCTCCAGATGTGCTATATCTGCATTATAGGCTTCCAAATATTAAATTATTCTACATTACTTTAATAGAGCCTGATCACAGTAGACCATTCTTTTCACATCATCGTCTTAGACAAGCTGACTCCCAGATACCGTTACTCATCTCCAAATTGGAGGCTAAAAATTATATCTGCCCCATGTTACAGGGATTAGATGAGATAATTTATATAAAGTAAACTTAATTGCAGTACTTAATTAGCACAATGTCTGGCTCATAGGTACATTCAGCTCGCAGTACCATTATTATTATTAACCAAAAAGACTGAATATGGTTTGAGTGGGGAAGACTGTATTTCCTGTGGGAATATTTATACGCATGAGTGAGATGTTTCTTAAATTTTCTTAAAGAAAATAAAATAGGTATTTAAAAATTCTTCACCTATTAATCATGAGAAGGAACAATAAAAAGTTATATTCTGAAAAAGAATCTGAGGGTTTTGGAGGGGTGGGGGATGGGAGGTTGGGTGAGCCTGGTGGTAGGTATTATGGAGGGCACACATTACATGGAACACTGGGTGTGGTACATAAACAATGAATTCTGGAACACTGAAAAGAAATTAAAAAAAAATTTTAAAAAAATTTTAAAAAGTTATTTTCTCTGTATTTTAAAACTATATTGTTAGTTTACTCCTACCTCCTTGCAGGCCAACTAACTCATTCATAGTATTCCTGGGCATCGCTGGCCTCATGGTCATGTGATCAACATAGCTGCACAAAACCCAGGACAAGAGGGCCCCACAAGAGGGTCTAATGGTCTCTAGTCACCATCTTCAAATTTTTAATAATGTTACTTTGAAGTTTTGTTTTACAGGTGAAATCTCTGGGACAATGGAGATTGTGCCGGGCATTGGAGTCTCAGCACACACACAGTTCTCCTTCCCACCCGCTCCGCACCTCCCTGGGCTAGGTTCTTGGCTATCTTCTGCCCGCCCAGCCGCACCCTCCCCAGCCCTGCCCAAGTGTTTGCTTCGAACCTCCAGGCCCCTGACAGGGCCCCGGTGCAGGTGTGCGTAGGAATGGGGCGGGGCACCCACATCCCACTGCATTTGGGAGCCTAGGATGGCGGAGGACATCCTGCCCTAAGCTGGCAGTGCCCTGATGCATCATTGGCAGCCAGCCAGAGATCACAGCTCGGTGGAGACCAGCCTTTCACCCACTCCTAATCCCAGTACTTAGACCTTTCTAACTCAGAGCTTGCAGTACCCTCGGGAGTTGCCCATCCATGTGAGCTGGGGCACCAGGCCTGTGGAAACCCGAGATGTCTGCCTGGACTTCACCGGGGAGCTCTACACCTGCAGTGTGGTGGTCTCTCCGTGCAGCAGCGGGCGGGAGCCGGCGGAGTAGCGTCACGCCTGCGCAAATGCAAGCGCAGGGAGTCATGGGATCGGGTCCCAGCGCCGCGGGCGGAGACACGTGCTCGCCTTGCCAGCGTCCAGATGCCTGATACCTGAAGGAGTGCACTTCAACCTGCTTCGTGCTAGATGAGCCCTCTCTCTTCCTCCACCACCTTCCTGCGTCTAACTTGTATATGCTCTTCCGGCCAAGCTACCATGAAATATGAATGATGTAATTTTGATGATTCCACATAGGAGTTGAATGTTCTGTCTGTATTCAAACCTGGCATTGGAGAATATAAACATGAACGGGGAAAGCCGTGTTAATAATTTGATTATGATTATGATTATGATTATTTTAGAAAGAGAGAGGTAGAGCAGGAGCAGGGGGAGTGGCAGGCCGAGGAAGAAGCAGGCTCCCCGCTGAGCAGGGAGCTGGATGTGGGGCTCCATCCCAGGACCTCCGTGATCATGGCCAGAGCAGAAGGCAGACACTTAACCGAAGGAGCCACCCAGGCATCCCAATAATTTAACATTTTTAATTTTTATTTACTGAACATGACATTAAGTAGCTCATAGAAAACATCATGACAAGTTGAGGGAGAGAGAGAACAGGAAAAAGAAAAAAAAAAAAAAAAGAACTTTAGACTTAAGTACCTTAGCCCTTTTTTGTGCTTTTTTGAACACAGAGCCCTGCATTTCCATTTTGCACATGGCTCCAAAAATTACGTAGCCGTTCCTTCCCTGGTTTGTGGAAATTTGGGCCAGTGTGCAACCGTGTCTGTGAGTTTGGTGAGATACCAGATGGTAAGAAACAGATGAAGAACAGAGTTACAGATGATGCGATTTGGTAGTGGATATTGATTCTTCTCAAAATTGTAATGGAGACGATGATTTCATATTTGGAAAAAATAGGAGGAATATTTAAGATGGTAAGGATGCTGCTCATACACCGCCCCCCGCCCCGCCCCTCCCCCCAGTGTGTGTCCAAAAGCAGCCTTCAACTCTGAGAGAGCTGGTGGCCAGAGAACAGTCGTGGTGAACCCTCTGACCGGATTCCTCATGGCTCATCAATACCACGTAGGGACTCCACTTAGCAACCACATTCCAAATGGGTTCACTTTAAAAAGGTGAATGTAATTTATCACTCCAGTAGAATGTAATTTATAAAGAATAAATAATAGCAAGACATAACTTTTTTTTTTTTATTTTACATTAAGCAGAAGCTATTTAGGTAAAAATAGGGGTTTGAAGGACACACAGAACATACCCTGAACTGTGTGGCAGAGCCAAGGGCTGAGGGCAAAAGACCAACAGAGAACGGAGACCAGAGACAAATTAGGAAGGAAATGATGAATGACAGCCACAAAGAAAAAATTCGAGAGCTGGCAAATAGGGATATCAACTTGGTTTTTAATTGACCCAGAATACTGGCCACCTCACTATTCAATAACAAGTAGGCACATCATCATCTTCAAACACAGAAGAATAAGAACAATTGTTTAAGTCACTGAAGTGGTTCTTGCATCCTAAACTTCAGTGATTACAACTGTCATACAATGTCTGGCTAGAGAGGCATTTTCATTGGAGATGAGCATGTAGAGCTGACCAGCGCTCTGGAAAAGCAATTGTCTGAGGCTGTCTGTATTTGAGGTCCCGCTACTAGTTTCTCACTAAAATGATTCATGAAATTTTTCAATTAGATTCCTACGTATTTTGAAAAACCAATTTCGGTTCTACCTTTCAACTAAATGAATGAGTCAGTGTATCATGCAGACAGGTGTGGTCTTGCATAATTATCAGATTAAATGATCCTTGTACAGAACAGAAAAAGATGGGCAAGGACTTAACGCAGAATCCAAGAAGACATAACTTTTTCAAAAAAGATAAATTGGGAAATATACACAAAGAGGTGAAATACATTTAGCCCATCATTGAGAATAGTGTGGTTCACTAGGCATGGCTCTCCAGCCAGACTTCCCGAGTTCAAATCCTGACTCTGTCACCACCTACCTTTGTAGTTAAGCAAGCTTCTTCCACTTTCCAGTTCTGGGCCTTTTCACATGCCAGATGAGAGAGTGACAGTGGCTGAGTCCTGGGGTCTTTGTGAGAACTAGAGGAGAAAATGCCTATAAGGCTTTCAGTTTAGCAAACACTTAATAAATATTGGTTATTATTATTCCTAAAATAATATCCCTCATTCATCTAAAATCAGCTCATTTGTAACTTGTTCATAAACTTGACCTTGAAGATGAAAACAAAAGTAAAAAATCCATGGACTACTGAAAAGTTTAAAATGGTGCTTCTTATCAAAGGGAATTAAAAATAGGGAAAAGAAAATATTTAAAATAAATTTTTAAAATAATATTGCCAAATGCCTTAAACCTATCCTATATATGTATTGCCTGTTTTCATTATAGTCACCATCTTCATCTATTGAATTTTCTTGGTTTTCAGGCACCTACTTAACTTTATTAAATATTTCATGGTATGTGTGTGAAATATAGAGTCAATACCTAGGACTATCTCTGTCTACTAGTTTTCTTTCTCCCTAAAAATAGAAAAGAGGATTGCCTGGGGCCAAAAAAAATCCTGTCTTCCTGTCAGCAACTTCTGCTCATATCTCCATGATTCCAAATTATATATTCACATAATTTACATTTTCTCACTCTTAGTTTAAAAAAAAATCAAGTTAAGTCAAAAGCTAAAATGCATCCCTTTTTATAGCAGAAAATTGCTTCTATTGCTCAAAGCTAATTTAAAATAAAATCTGGTCATCCTGAAAAACATACGTGTGTGTGTGTGTGTGTGTGTGTGAATTTTTTAATTTGGCTTCAGATCACTAGTCACTCATATTCCCACACAACACCTTTTTGAAATGTAATGTTTTCCTTGAAGAAGTGGGAATAAATCTTTATTCTTGTTGCAAAGCATTGCTCAATCCTGTCTTTAGTATAGTATGTGGGAACGGGTAGATAACTAATATATCTTTGTTGAAAGAATAAGTGGATAAATGTATGAATGAATGAATGAATGAATGAACAAACGAAGAAAGGCATAGCAAGCCCGAGTTGCAAATATAGTCTATGCCTTTTACTTTACTCCAGAACACATTTCCTAACCATGTGTCTGCCTTCTAATATTAATACTAATAGATACAATTACTCACATACTTGAGAGCTGCCCAGTAATATACATGTCCCAACATCTAAGTTGCTTCAGCCTCAATGAGATGAATTTGTCTTCTGTGATAATAAGGGCAGATTATAGCTAACATATATTCATCAAATATATCATGCATATAAAATGCTTAAAGGTACAGCATCTGGTATTATATATAATATATAAATATTCTATATATATATTTATATAATAATATAAATATCTATCATATAATAATATAAATATATAATATAAATATTCTATATAATATACTATCTATGATATTTATATAATATTTATACATATTTATATATCATATCATATATTAATTATATATTATATATAAATCACATATATTATATTATTATATATTACATGTCATATATATATAATATATTTTTTCTATATATATGCTGGGCACTATACTAAACATTTTATGTACACAATCTCATGGACATCCTCACCATCACTAGAAGAGTGTAGATAATATTCTATTTCCTAGCTTGTATCTGAGGCTTAAGGAAGTTAAGTAATTCTCCTAAAGTCAAATAGCAGTAAGTATACAACCAAGATTCAGAGCCAGGTGTGCCAAGTTCCTGCTCTGATCTCTTCACTGCCGTGACAAACTGCTTACTGATGTAAGAACACAGGTTGTGGACAGAGGGGACCTCTACCTCCTAGAGCTGGGGCAAGTGACAGGCTGTGGTTTGGTGGCAAAGTTAGGATGCTGGGCCAGTAGTTAACGTATCAGAATAGACTGGTAAGACTCAGGGGGCAACAAGCCATGGGGAGAAGATGGAATATTAAGACAGGAAACAGTGGAGGGAAGGCTGAGATATTGGCCTCTAACTGGGGTCATATAATTATCATCCAAACCAGGACACTTGAAAGTGACAGTGGATTCTAGTCGTAACTGTAGGAAGACAACACTACAAAGTGGGACTGTCCTGACTAAACTAGGAAATAGGGTCACCTTTCCCATGTCCTTCTCTTGGTATTTTTTTTCCTTTTATCCCTTCTTTCTGTCTCTCTCCTTCCCTTCTTTTATCCCCCCCTTTATTTTTCCTCTGTCTCTCAGTGGCTCTTTCCCTGTGCCTCAAGTGGCAACAATTTGCCATGATTATCTGAAACCGGGAAGGTCACAAAGGGCTTCATATTTGAACTTTTTTGACAAATGCTACAAAAGAATATTTCTCCTTTTGCTATATTAGTTATCTATTGCTTCATAACAAATTGCCCTCAAAATGCAGTGTCCTGAGCAAATATTTAATACCTCACACAATTCCTGAGAGCAGCTTAGCTGGGCCATTCAGCCTCCAGGTCACTCACAGGGCCGCAGTCGAGCTGTGAGCTAAGACTTGTCATCGGAAGGCATGACTGCAACTGGATGATTGACTTCCAGGAAAGCTCCCTCCCCCGGCTCTCAGCGGGAGGACGCTGCTTCTTCCACGTGGGCCACCCCGTGGAGCTGCTCATGCCCTGCCAGCTGACTCCTCCCCGAATAAATGATCTGAGAGAGAGGATGGAGGCACAGTGGCTTGTAACCTGGTTCCTAGAGTTTCCCTCTCTCACTTCTATTTTATTCTAGTCATGAGAAACGAGTCAGTAAGGCCAACCACGCTCCTAAGAAGGATTGGACTCTGCCTCTAGAGGGGAGCAACAACAAAGAATTTATGGACACATTTGAAAACACCACAGTCCATCCTCTGGCCCCAAATTATTTGTGTTCTTCCCACATGCAGAATACACTCACCCTTCCGAAAGTCCACGAAATCGAATGGGTCAGCTCAAACTCCAGAATCTTGTCATCATATCAGTTCCTAGTATGCATGAGGCTCCTTGGATTTAGTCCAGTGTAGCTCCTCTCAGCCTGAGAAGTGTGAACAACACCGACAAGCTACCCACCCCGGCCACATGCACACCCACGACACAATGGTAGAACAGAGACAGGATAACCATTGTGGGCATTCTTGTTTAAAAGGGAAGGAACCAGGATGAATAAAGGAGCCAGTGGTTCATAGCAATTCCAAAAGCCTTGCTGAAATGTTGGAAGGTCCTTCCTTAAGATTCGGTCTTATTCCTGTGCAGTAATATTCTCTATGGCTCTGAGCTCTGCTCTCTGGGCTCTTGGTTCTACCACCTTAGTCATCCCTCCTTTATCATGAAATGTAGCCTGTGTGTGCAGCTGTGTGATTTCCTCAGTAGTTTCCAGTTGAAGAAGTTAGGAAGTCCAAAGGACTGTATTCATCATGTATTACTGTTTCTGTCTCCAGCAATGTTTCTATGAAGATAATTCTCTTTAACACTTTACGGGCTCTCCTACGGATCTTCCTAGGTTTTCTCGAGCCAAAAGCCACACTTACAAATGTCTTTGAGATAAGACCTTTGCTATATTGGTCATTTGCTGAGACACTGAGGGCTTGACTGAAGCTAGAGTAGCCAATTCCAAGAAGTCTCGCTCTTAGTGCCGTTCATTGGAGGCCTTTGTCCCCTGCTACCTGGGTCTCTCCATAGGGCTGCTCATGACATGCCGGCTAACTGCTCCGGGAGCAAGTGATCTGAGAGAGAGAGGAGAAGGTCATGGTGTCTTTTTTACCTGGTTTTTGAAGTTTTCCACCTCAATTCTGCTTTATTCTATTCATTATAAGTGAGTCACTAAGTCCAGTCGACAGTCAGGAGGAGAATTGGCCTCCACTTCTTGAAAGGAGGAGTATCAGAGAATTTGTGGACATAATTAAAGTTACCACAGGGGCATAATTTTTCAAAGTTTAACTTTTATTTAATTTATGTATTTCCAAAGAAAATAACAAAAGATAAGGGAAATGCTATGTGAGCTACTTATGTTACATTATACCTGTGAAAAATTAGAAAACATACCTAAATATTCAGCAACGGAGGAATGGTTTAAGGAATTATAGTATTTCTACCGAATAGAATATTGTGAAACTACTTAAAATTATTCTGAAGCTTGTAGAGTAATATGAAAAACACTTGTGACAAATTTATGAAAGAACACAAAATTGTACGTTGAAAAATATGCACAAAAAAGAGACCAGATGGGAACATACTAAAGTAACAACAATGGTTGTGGTAATTGGTGAGATCTTGGAAGATTTTTGTTTTTATCTCCAAGTTTTCTGTAAATGTATTGTTCTATAATGTATAATTCTGTTATGCTTTTTTTTATTTTGAAAGAGGTGATTAAATATAATACTGACTTTCTCAATAAGGATTCAGTGGGTATTGGTGTGCTTTTTTATGTAGCAAAAAATAGACGATTCAGATTTATAGATAGGCGTGTGAAAGCTCATGTCAGTGGTGGAAGAGATAAGGAAGAGAACATAGGTGAAAGTGGTCATGGAGAAGAATCTAATTAAAGGAAACCAACATCATATTCTTGAGCACCCCAGGGAGTTAGGTGGTGGTCCTGTTCCAGACTTGAAGAGGCAAAGAGGGAGAGAGCTGTCACAGAAGCTGTGCTCTTCAGGTGTCCAGCTGTGGGAGGGGAAACAAACATCCCCATGTTATCCTCTGACCTCTAGCTCGCCTGCCTACCTCCCACTGATTGAACCAACCAGAATCCAGAGTTCGAAGGAATCCTTTGATACAGACCTTAAAAAGTGAGCCACCCATAACACAGAGAAGGGTAGAGAACACATCTGAAAGAGCAAATGGAAACATCCAGCACAGGAGATTATTTAAAATAGCTAGGCAATGCTCTACTTTGGTGAGAAGATTCTTGTGTAAAATTTATATGTTATACTAAAAATTGACATCAATGTTTGAGGAATATACATTTTGGCATCAAGCTGTTCATATAAATATGTCCAGATAGCACACTACTTACGGACATTTTCACTTTTAGACATAGACTGCCCATATTGTAGATCATGGCAATTCAGATCACTTCTTCTTCTTCTTCTTCTTTTTTTTTTTTTAAGATTTATTTACTTGAGGATGGGAAGGGACCAAGGGAGCGGGAGAGAGAATCCTCAAGCAGACACCCCACTGAGCAGGGAGCCCAGTTTAGGGCCAGATCCCTCGCACCCTGCGATCATAACCTGAGCCAAAACCAAGAGTCAGAGGCTCAACCAACTGAACCAACCATGTGAATCTGGAAGTCCATATCTCAAATGGGTTTTATGTAAGTTTAGACCATATACAAACTTGCAGGATATTTAATAATGAACACACCAGTGAACCTCTTAATAAAGTTATCTGTATTCAAATAAAAGCTGTAAAAGTGGACATTTTCTTTGCTGTTGAACTTCATTATGAACTTCATTAAACCATGCTCCTTGTGTTTGGTTTGGTTTTTTCTGCTCACCATGTATCCATTACCTATGATAATACCTCAAACACAGGAAGTCATCTAAATTTGTTGAATGGATGAATGAATGGATTTATTAAAGGGCTTTCACATGTTGCGTTTCCATTTTGTTGTTGTTGAGGAAACAAGAAATATCCTCAAGAAATGTCAAAGAAATTAAATAAGTTTTTTTTTTTTTAAGATATTTATTTTTGCGAGAGTGATAGGGAGCATGAGCAAGGGGAGTGGGAGGGGCACAGGGAGAAGCAGACTCCCCACTGAGCAGGGAGCCTGACTCTATGGGACTCGATTCCAGGTCACTGGGATCATGTCCTGAGCGGACACTTAACCGACTTAGCCACCCAGGCGCCCTTCAGTACCTTGCTTAAGATCAGTTAGTGAGTAGCGGAGCTGGAATTCACACCCAGACTTTTTGATGCAACCATCTGAGGTAAACAAAACTCTTAACACAGGTACTTCAGTCATATGATTCATCGAGCCTGAGATAGGACCATGCTCATGCAGTGCAAACAAGATAAAACTTCAACTTGTCTTCAATATCTCTGGAAATAAACATAATGTTCTTCCAAATGAGAATGTTTCATTATATAGTTTGACATAAATGTACTCTTTGTCTATATGAATGAACAGTATGGCAAAATAATCCTACATCCCACTGTCTATTGAAGAGAAAATCTTCTGTACTATACTTGAGTCTAACAGTGGTTGTCTCAAAGGTGGTGCTGTCTCCAGCGAGAGCACGGTTTTGTCCGAGTACGAGAAGAAGTCCTGTCATGGTGCAAAGGGGCCAGGGATGCGGAGTGACCTGCCGTGCTCAGGATGGTCCCACACGGATAATTGTCTTGTCCATAATGCCAACAGCACCTTCACTCCCTTATGTGAGTCTTCCACTTTTGATAAGTTAAATCTTTTACCTGACTCTATTTACCACCCCAGGCATAATTAATATTCTTTAAATAAAGTCTAACGGTGGCATTTTACTGGCTCCTCTGTGAACTTTAACTTCCCAGACTTGGCTTCTTAAACTATCCCCTGAGAGGGACACCTGGGTGACTCAGTCAGTTAAGCATCTGCCTTTAGCTCAGGTCATGATCTCGGGGTCCTGGGATCAAGTCCCGCATTGGGCTCCTTGCTCGGCGGGGAGCCTGCTTCTCCCTCTCCCTCTGCCCCTCTGCCTGCTTATGCAGGTCTCTCTCTATCAAATAAATAAATAAAATCTTTAAAAATATATATATAAATAAATAAACTAGCCACTGGGAGCCTGGGTGGCTCAGTTGCTTAAGCGTCTGACTCTTGATTTCGGCTCAGATCAGGATCTTAGGGTGTTGAGATCAAGCCCCGTGAGACAGGCCCACACTCGGCAGGGCGTTGAGATTCTCTCTCCTGCTCCCTCTGCTCCCGGCCACCTCAGGTGCTCTCTTGCTCTTTAAAATAGATAAATTAATCTTTTTTTTTTTTTTTTAATCAGATGAGCCACATGTGGATTTTAAAGGAAAGCAACCTGATCCCTTTCGATGCACAGTTAAGAGCAAAGAACAACAGTCTGGGAGTCAGGAGGCTTGGGGGTCTTGGTTGGTTGACCAAATGGCGGAACGGCATGACCCTGGACAAGCTGTCCAATCTCTTTAATGCCTCTACTTCTTCACCTTAAACATGGAGGACGAGGAAGTGACTTTTCAAACCTGAAGCCCCAACACTGAGTAAGGAGCAAACTTAAGTCGAACAAAAGAAAAGCAGAGAGTGAAGGGTTACACGTGGAGTAACTGACAGATAAAATTCCGGAAGAAAATTTCATATATGCCCTATGTCATCCAAATGGAATGGGTATATGGAGGCCCCACTGTGGCAGAAATGACCATTTCCACTTTTCTAACTCTGGGATCTTTTATGCATCTCATTTAGAAGTGACATTTTCATGGAAGTTATGGCTAATGGCAGCGGAGGCAGCCAGAGGTGCAGTCTTAGTCTTCCTTAGCGGGCTGTAGTCAAGCAGACTGGAGTCATGAAGGAAATGTAGGGGGATTCTGAAAATTAAGATCTCAGAACCTCAAATACGGATTCAGACCCTGCTATCGTGCTCCGTGAGCCCAGTGGCAAGGATGAGCCTGTGCGCCCCCTGGGCCTTCCCTCGGATTCCTTTCTGCAGGCTCCAAATTCTAGGAAATCTAATCTCTCCTGTTTTTCAGATCCCCCCTGGCCTTTTCTAGAATCTGTCTCCTTTTCTCCATTCCCCCTTGTCATGGTCCCAGTTCAGGATTTCATTCCCTCTCAACTGGTCAGGAAGAAGGGTTTCTAGACTCTCTGTCTTTCCACTTTATTCACTAGACTGCTTTCAGAATCGTTCTAACATAATTTAGTGTCTTTTTTTCTCCTGCCAAAGAACTGGTAAGTGGCAGAACTGGAATTCATACCCAGAGTTTGTTCTCCTGCTTAAAATTGTTTGAAAGCTCTCTAGTGAC